ATAGCTACATAGGTAGTAATCATTAAACGAGTTTGATTAACGAGCCATTTATAATGAACGTCGTATACTTGTTGATATTTTTACTGCAACAAGACATAGTTTTATTACGGTTGTGTTTGTATTATTTTTTTATTAATTCTTTAGCACATAGTCAATACAAAAACTTCTATGGATATTTATATAAGTATAATATTATGATGTTGAGTGTTAATAATTATTTCACTATGATGAGTACGCAATAAAAAATTGTCCTAAAGCCTATTTGCAAATCCGTTGAAGCCCATTGGTGGCGTTATGATGCGTGACTTGATCACAACGATATTATACTATGATCTATACGACTGAACCGGCGAAATGTGTACGTACTTATAGATCCACTCGATGATTAATAATAAATATTATTGTCTAATAATGTACTTGGGTATATTATAGGAAACAGCCTATACGTACCTTGGGCCTTGGCGCGTATTTGCGTTAATATTATGTAGTAGGTACTTGCTTCGATTAGAAATTATTATTATCTCTAAAAATAATTAAAATAGTGTTCATACATGTATACATAACATTCACAATAACCTTCGTTTTTTTTTCACGATAGCAATTTTATTGCGCGTTAAAATGTTATACGTGCGAAAAAATTTAAAAATGTACAGTCCCGTGGGCTTTGAAACCCACTCACCGTATCCGCCCGCCCAACTTTCCGTCGAACGACCTGGACCTATGCTCGCATAGAGTGGAGCTATGCATTCGATAATATTCTCCTGAATCGTGTTAACATTCGGTGTGCGCATTATAGTCGGTAGGCACCAAACATGTGATTCGCGTTTCCGTAGAAATCACGTGTTTGTCCCTTCGGTGGGCTTTTCGTCCGTCCGTCCATTGCGTGACATAATATTATGCGTCTATAATATATTTCGTCAAGGTCATATTTTATTCTATGGTTGCCAAAACTATACGATATGTACATAGTGTAGCATTGTCACATGTAGGTACCCGACCACGTTTAGATGTGTAATGAGTATGCACGTGTAAAAACACAAGATCCCAACAATGGACTGCGCTAAAAGTTTCACGTTTTCATATTATTAGGTATATTATATTATGGTAACACTTTTAATAATATTATAGACAAATTGAATGTTCTGATATTTCCAAATCTAAAATAATTTCCCGCATTTCGCAGGTTCTAAAAATACGCTCGTTTTAAACCGCAATCCGAAACCGTATTATCTATAAGAGTTATCATAGTATGAGTACACGTCTTGTATGCCGTTTTATACATTATCATGATACTTACATCACAGAATAGATTAAATTTAAGATTGAATTGTGCGTATATGATAACATTGAATAGTTTCGTTGTTATTGTAGGAGGTATTTATATCTTCTAAATACAGAATTTACCATAAAATTGAATTGAAATTTCAAGGATTTTACCTAAGTTTTTCCATTTATATACAATTTATTTTGAAATATGTATGAATATTATATATTATCTTTTTAAATATTTAATTTGTATATAAATGATTGGGTAGTATATAAAGCTTTAATTATGTAGGTGCAAACAATTAATGCACAAAACTCTACATAAGACATTGATAATATTAAATAATATTATCAAATTCACATTGGAAAATACATCAATGTTATTGCATAGTAAACAGATATAAATATTATATTAAAATGCATTAAAATAAAAATAATTGTATTAATAAATTATTATTTTAAATTATTGGTCAAACTTTAACCATTATATTATTATGTATAATACGTATTATTAACGAGGTGGTGAAATGTTTAACATTTCCAATTCAGAACTTTACCTGGAGCTCAGAATACAGAACTTATCTTCTATTTTGAATTACTATTATTGACATAATATTATGTCAATAATAGTAAAAAATGTATATTTCATTGTAGCTAACTGAACTATTTTGGTTTATGATTATCTGTAAATATTTTATTTTAAATATTATGTTTGACTATTTTTAAAAACCACACATTGTATATACGGTTACCGGGTTACGATATACCACTTAGTATTTCTCATTATAAAAATAGATTTAATCTCATTGCTTTAACTAGGGTTACTATACGTCACATCGTATATAATGCTTACCCAACACATAAAACACGTCTTGCATCCAGGATTACAATTTACAAGGATATCGTTGTACTTAATTATACTACATGTACAGATTTATTATTTTTTTTTTTAATATTTGTTCATGTGTATCTATAGGTACTTATTACAGTACCTACTTCAATTATTGCATAAAATACACTGCAAACATATTGTATTATTAAATAATTTTACAAACAATAGTGCTGTTTTAAGTGGATTGAAAGGGAGGTGATTTTTTGTTTTGTTTATCACACACATTACACACATCATGCCTGGCATGGTAAATTAGAATTTTTGACATTTATCTCTAGATGTGTACAAAAATAAGATGTAATAATCAATGCTTCTACAGGATTATACCGCATTGAACACGACGTTTTTAAATACGAATTTTATTTAAAAATAATCAACTAAGTGGTTGGGATATAAACCGTATTATAACCGTAATTATTTTGTATATGAAACAGAATAATTCTATGATAGTGCCTCTTATATTTTGCAATATTCTAAGGCGAAAATATGGACTAAAAATACTACAATGTTATCATAAATAATGATTACATTGTATAATTACAAAATATACTTTAGATACTATGAATTTTGTTAAACCATATCGAATTCGACAACCTCTGATACCGGATCGGTTTGGCGACAAATGACAATCTTCCGGTAGCGTGATCGCCAAAATTCCAAAGAAGTTCTACTGTCGGGGGCTCGTGGAAAGCTCCGATCACGGTGTATAAAATTGGCTGACTCGACCGTGATGGTCCACATTGTAGTTGGTTGAACTTTGGTAAACGTTATCTCTGTCTAACGTCCTATCTCGATCAATTCGTTTTTATGTGGTCGTTTGATTCTCAAACCATGTTTTGGCATCGCTACCGTACGTCTACGAAGTTGTACTTGTGTAGTGTGTACTGCAGTTGTACGAGTAACCTGCACCGAGCTTCATCACTTCCGGTCCGTTGAAACGAGCAGTCAGTTTTCCGAGAATTACGTCGTACTGTCGGACTTCATTTAAGTATTGCCAGGTCCCTGGTACGAGTATTGAGTGTATAAGGCTTGAGCCCCACTATAATATTAAACACATTTTAATTTTTAGTTTAAGCTAAAAATGATTGCCGTATTCACCGGTCTTCTGTAATTAATATGTAATGTACCATTGTTTTCTAAATCTAAAACAAATCATAGTTTTACTATGCACCTTCTACTTGGTACCTACCTAAATGTTTAAAACATTTAGTAACATGTTTTGTTTTGTCAATTTGTGTCAATATTGTCTAAAAAAAGAGAATACAGATTGAGAATTAGGCGGTGTTGTTGGATCAGCCTTTCATTGCGCATAAATTGCGTTTGAGTATAATGGGCAGTTGCCACCTCTACGAAAATGATAACGGTTTTATGGTATCTAAATTTAATACGTGTGTAAAATCTGAGTAAATATTCAGTCGTGGTAGTTGTGTTAAGCATACTACTATAATTATCGGGTAGCGCGTTGTATGGCGATTTATGATTTTAACTACAACAGTAAAACAAGTATGAGTATTGGCCATTGAGTATGCGTTGTCGCCGTTTCGTATGATTCATAATTTGAACACTATAATAAACATTGATACGGCATTTCTATGGTCTTTCTTCGATTTAATAATATAGACATACGCTTTTTAGCCAATAAAACGGAAAGAGAAACGCTCCGGGCGATTAAGAAACGAATATATTTCAAACAAGAATTAAAAAAGATGCAATAATGTCGTGGTTTAACAATAGTATCAGTTGTGTTGGCCAACATATTTGTAACAATGCCACATCCATTAGTTTAATATCAATGATAATAAACTATATGTATAATATGAATAATTTAGTCGATAATATTAAAATGTAGGTAGGTAGATCGTCGTCTTCTTTATCGGTTCTGATATATTATTATAATATATATCAACTATATTATATTATTACATTTGAAATAATGACTTTTAAGAAGTTATATTATATTTGTTTAAACAATGGAACATTTGAATATCCAATAATCAAGAAAAATATTGTGTATGTATATTAATAGATACCAGATTCGTATAAGTCATAAGTGAACAAATAAATCAAACTAAATCATAGGTACTTAGTCGGTTATCAATGTATAATATAACGATCACCTTGTAATTTGTTTTGAGTTCGTACGAATATATTATTATTAATGCGTTATAATGTATACCACTGTCTATAGGTTACAACTTCACAATACGGGGGAGCTGCGTGTGTGAATTATATCGGAGGAGAATATACCTTGACGGCCACTAACAATTGTTAATTTAAATTCCACAAAAGTATTTGTGTGTAAATAATTTCTGTGTGCACGTCATGATCGTTTGGAATCGTATATTATATTGTTGTGCGGACGGCTGTGGGTCCTGGCGGCGTATGTTTACGGTATACCTTCGGTAAATATTTATAGTCATAATATTTGAGACTTAAATAATAACATGGGCCCCGTCGACCCTTGGATCAACGAGAGAGGGTGGGAATGAGTGACTGAGTGAGTGAGTGAGAGAGAGAGAGACAATGAGTGAGAAAGTGGTTTCTACGACAGCACGAAGAGCGTACAAACATATTATACCCTTAATTTAAAAATCTCGGACCGCAAGTGATTTGAATAAAACATAAGGCGGCAGGGCACATAGAGAGTGTGTGTAGACTGCGGCTAGCGGATTGCGCGGGAAAGCCGGGACGCGACCGGCGGCGTCAATGTAAATTCGGGCGGCGCGTTGTGGGGGAAGCGCGAGAGTGAGTGCCCGGTCGGCGGCGCGTAGCAGGCTGCCAACCTAACGTCCGGCGAAGCCGATCGGAGCGCATCGCATCGGACCGCATCGCCGCCGAGCCAGAGTACGTCCGTGATAACGCCGCGAAGCGATAACGACATTGCACGTGTTTGAGGTTATGTTATGTTTTGGAAAAAGGTTTTCGCGAATCCGAAACGCAATAATTCCGTCGCGTTCACCGCCGCCGCGGCCCAAAATCCGGGATTCGCGTCGACATCGTCACTGTGCCGTACTCGTCGCCCTTTTCGCCTCGACCGCCAGGACATGGATTCGAAGAGCCTGAAGGATCGACCGCTGTTCGCTGTCGTAGGGTGCACGGGCACGGGCAAGACGAAGCTCGGTGTGAGGCTAGCCCAGGAGCTGGGCGGCGAAGTCGTGTCGGCCGATTCCATCCAAGTAAGTACTTAGTTGAGTTGTTTCCGTTCGTTATCGATTAAATAGGTTAAGTTCACGAAATGCTTGGGTTGGTGGGTGGGTGGGTATGAAGTTTTGTGGAGCATTAGCTCACGAGTTCATGACCCCGAGGTATTTTTTTTCTGTTGTCTCATTTTTTGCGATTAGTTCGTAAAAAGCTAGACCGTCAAAATAGATCTCGCACTGTTGTGTGTGTGTGTGTCTGTGCATGTGTATGTGTGTATGTGTGTGTGTGTATGTGCGTGAGTACATTGAAACATTGGGTTGCCACTGTGCGCTGGGTATCTCTCAACTATCAATCATCGTTATGAATGTTTTCGGAAGTGATTAAGATAATATTGTATTAATAGAAGAAAGAAGAAGAAGAATAATTAATATTATTATTGTTTTTATTATTGTTATTATTGCTGTTATTGTTATTGTTATTGAGAATCGTGATAATTGCGATAACGTTGGATGTTATGTATTGAACGGAAACCGTTATGTACTGGCCACGGATAACGACTTAATTCGTTTGTTTTTCATAGTTCAATAAAAAATCATCCACGGAGCGATCATAGTGGTGATAAGGGGTATCGTAAATCAATTTTTTCAATCAACTTCTAAATCCCGGAAAATAAAAAATATAATAAGTTTTTTTATGAACTTGAATTTCGTTATTTATGCATTGGAATCTAGATTGGAACCATATACATTGGTTTATTCTGAGTAATAAAAAAACAGAAAATAAAAATAAAAACATCTAATAAGTAATTTGTTCCACAAACTCATTTCTATTTACAATGAGTTTGAAAGTTGACAGTTAAATAATGATCAAAATGTATTATAAATAAATAATGATGGTATGGTCCAATATTTTTAAGTCACTGAGGAGTTTAAGATAAAATAAAAACCTAAAAAAAAATATTTTTGGCTATTGATTTTTAAAAAATATTAAATCATATCTTGTCAAATATAATTGATCATAATTGATCATAATGTTCTACTACGTTGAGGCAGATTGAGATTAGCTACGTGCTCAACATTTTATTTTTATTATACTAGGTCATTTTTTTTGTACTTTTAACGTGATTTTTAATGACGTAAATACATTTGTCGAATAGTTAAATTTTAAATAAATAATGAAGCATTTTTTAGACACTAGGTGGCAAGGTAATGATGCCTGCATTCTAACCGTTTCAAGTAGAATATGACTTGCCGTTATGCCTCTACAAAAAATAATAATAATAAGTAATAACGAAGCTTTGTGTCCGCGTGGGCTTGGGAATTAATTTGATGTAATTAAATAAAATAGTTTGATTAACTTCTTAATTCTTAGTTTTTTTGGTAATAAGTAATAACTAATAAATAACAATAATATTATGTAAAAACTAATAATAAATGCGTACAATTTATGCCATAACAGTAGATTGGGTCTAAGCTACGGTCCGACTAGACACATTGGGTAACAATTATTCAATTTATATATCTACATCGTATTATGGTTTACATTTTTTTCAACAATAACATAACAATAACAGTTTGAAATGTAATTATTGAGTTCTACAACAAATTATGTGTGATGTGTCTATTATCACGAAATAATAAATACAATTTTATTGAATTTTAATTGAATAATATATTTGTGACTCGTATTATGATATTAATTTTGAAATATTAAATTAAAATGTATTCTTTAGTATTAACTTGAGTAATTGTACTATTTTAAGTAGTAAGTTTATAGGTACTATGTTTCACCAATCGTTACTGTTTTACATAATATTATATACTACATAATTAGGTAGGTAGACTTTTACTAATTAGTAATTACAATTATTTATTAAATTTTTATGTTTGTCCTTGAATGATAAATTCTTCTTTTCTCATCTCTAAAACATATCAATACACTTACAATTCATTTACTGTTAGTAACAGGTATAGGTATGTATTTAGTATACATATTTTTTTTTTTGAATAAACGTTTTTATAAATACCGAAGTACAGAATTTACTCCGGAAATAATCGAATCGTAGTAATTATTTATTGATGAAAAATGTTCTACAAACATTATAAAATATTTGGAAAAAGTACTAATTAATAAAGTTCAACATTTTAAATTTGGGGGAATTTATAATTATAGGTATTACGTACAACATTATTGTTTTTATTTTATGGAAATAATTTCTATGGTGTTAAATATAAATTATTATGATAAAGCAACAAGTTCTGTTTTGTTAATTATTTTGCAGCGGGGTATCAACTACATAGTATAGACTATAGAGCCCAACACCAAGAGGGGAATCGGTTGTTAATTTCTAATATCCACGTGTGCAATATTTGTTCTTCGTGATTGTGGTGACCATATGACAAAGTATAGTACCACACTTGACACATCACATGTTTGGCAGTTAAACATGTGCATTATTTATTCATAATTAGTAGTTTGTAAATCACTGTGTGTGTAATATGTATGTGTACATGAAGAGGCCCACTCGTTGGATACGTCTGTAGAGGCAAAAATAGAGCACTAAACCTGTCATACAAACTTAGGAATAGAAAACTTTTAACTTCCAACTAGAAAAAAAATGAGACGCCATCATCATTTTATTTCTACCGAAGTGTAGTTTTTTTTTGGAAATTATCGTATTATTTTGGTTAGGTTGGTTTATTGTATCCGATTAACAATGAAGACAATCTAAGTATACTCGTTGAACAGTGTAATTATTTAAACGTAAAACAAACACAATTTAGCAATTGTTTTTGAAAAAAATTATATTAAGTATCACTATACTATTTTGTATTGTAACCAATTTTTGATTTTTAATTTTTTGAATAATAGCAATGCATACATTTTTTAATTTCATAGGCTAAAGCAGAATATTTTTAGGTACCCTGTGACACTCGACTCAGCTCATCTAAACGTTGAATACTTTTATATTATATCTAATTGACTAAGTAATCAAAATTAGATTTTTATCGATTGAATACCCAGAAAATATTCATTCTGCTACGGAGGATAAAATTAAAAATGTATGTTGTCATTCAAAAAGTAACAAACTTATACAAATGTAGGTAGCCATAAAAATATAACTTTTTTTCTTAAATGTCGTTTTGTAATGACTTAGATAAATTACGTAAAAAATGTTTTCTAACAGTGTCTAAAAAAACGTTGATGCACTCAACCTGTATAATATATTTATAAAATATTTTTTATAGATCTCCCACTGTCACTTTTATACACATTAAAATCAACTATTGGTGCTAAATATGTGTTCTCTGTTGTATAATTCGATTTTACTAGGTGTCAAAGTATATATACGACCTTCTTGCCGCGTTTTGAATGAAATTGCATAATATTAATGACGTAAAACGAGAAATTCTTGTTTCTTTTATCCTATACAGCAAGTACCCTGGGGAATCAAAGATAATACACTGGCATATGATTCAATACGTATACGAACATAATATAGGTACCTACCCAAGTATATATTGAATATGCATACACATAATTTTATATAACTGTCTTTTGAATATACCAATTTTTTTTTTATCACAATCATCTAGTTTATCTATCTACCATATCGCATGAGTTAGGGAATTGTTCCCTCTTCATATTGTATAGCAATATGTGTAGGTATATTACTTTAAACCGTCCGAAGGTGGTTAGTTTCATTTTGTCCGTTTCATTCTTATAAGTCGACGATTACTGTTGAAGCTAATTTACAATGTATATTAAATTATTTAAATAAAGTTTTTATTCTGTCCAGTATTTTAAAGAATCAGGGAGAGTTCCTATTCAATTAACTCTTGTAATATATAATGGTTAAATGATTTAAACTGTACAAATTCAATGATGTCATACTTTTATGAGTTCCGTTCATTTTTATGTATATCTTAATAACTGTTCTGCTAGACATAATTTTTATGTATTCAATTTTAATTATATTTTATTTTATTACACTTTGGCCGTTTTTTTTGATTCCATTATGGGTAGCTTGTTTTTTAAAATTATTTCAATAATCGTATTAATTTTAAAATATATATGCAATTATATATAATTGTGTTTAGTACGCCTAAGTAGACAGTAGTCTGTATATGACGTGACCTAAATATTAAAATTAGTTTTTTTATTGCTAAAATTCTATTATTATTTTTTTATAACCAAATATTGACACACGTACGATGTGATTCACAACCAACAATTTAAGTATATTCTTTGTTTGAATTATTTGAAGTACGTTTTATGTTTCCAAAAACTAATATTTATTAATAAAATATATAGGTAGTTTTGATAGATAATACTTATTTACAAAAAATATTAATTTAATTCCATACATTGCATGCCTAGTTTATGTTGTATTTTATTAAAACACATATAATGTATAATATATTATACTACGTATGTACAATTATTTTAGTATATTTATAGTTTATACTATAGAACTTATAAATAATAAATATTAATAAAACATACAAATTAAAATATAGTCAAATTTCTATTCAGTTTTATAATCAAAAACAAAATAAAATTATGATATGAAAATTTAAATTAAAAAAAAAAATTTTTAATTTGCTTTTGAAAGACCGGCGAGAAGCGATGTTTCTATTAATGCAACCTACCCACAGTATTATTAATTGTATTGTCATAAATTATTTCGACCTATTATTATGGATATCTACTTATTTCTTCGGCCTAGTCATTATAAGAAATTACCTATTGATATATGTTGACTTGCAAAATCATACAAAGTAGTAATTTCTTCTAACATACGTTTACACATACGTAAATTATTAAATTAAAACATTCCATAATAATTTGGCTTTGTTCAAGTTATTTCAACTAATATATTTTTATTTTATATATTTAATTGTAAATACTTCTATTGTTGAAGTTTTTGTGGTACTGTTTTAAATTTGATATAGTCTCATTATTTACATATGTTTAAATATTTTATTCGCAAAACCCAATTATTTTTATTTATTGGCGATATTGAATCGCGTTC